GTGTCAAGCACATATGCACATTTGTTGCCCTCATCATTCTCAAAACATTTGCCTCCCACTCTAGCCCCTAATATCAGTTGCTCATTTCCCCCCTCCCTCCCCCCTTCCCCCTCAACAAATGCATTTTAAAAGGAAAATTTACATTTCTTGAAAAAAAAAGCTATTTAAATTCTTTCCACATATATAATTTGTCTAAAAAGAAAATGTTCAATCAAGTAAATGAAAAACCAGTATATCTTGTAAAAGAAGGACAACTACTTTAAAAAATCTATAAAAATCTAACAATGTTAAAAAAAAGGCATCGAGTGTTAGAGCCTTATTAGTACTCAGGGGAGACTTGCCATTTCATGTTTGTGTCTCAGCACCACGTGATGTCATTTCCTAGTGAGTCACAGCTCAAACTTCGTACAGAACTGCTCGGCCTCAGGAAAAACAAAAAACAGCAATGTCATTAGATTCTAGCCATTTCAGCTTTTCTGGACTCTCTGGGCGTCATACTACCAAGGGAGATGTACAAGTACACTTGACCCTCAAACAACACGGGTCAAAACTGTACAGGTTCTTGTACACATAGATTTGAAAACCACAACTTCTTGTGAGAAGGTCATCGCTCCGGTAAATTGCATTTTGCAGTAAAGATGGTATATGGCCCCTAGTGTTGCTGGACATACTCCCAAAACAGAGAAAAGCCAGGCTGTGATAAGAAAAAGTTGAGTTCCTTGATATGCACTGTAGATTCTAAGAGCCCTGGTGGCATAGTAGTTACATGGTGGCTGGTAAACTCAAGGTCAATAGATTGAAACCAACCAGCTGCTTTGAGGAAGAAAGATGAGGCTTTCTACTCCCTTAAAGAGTTATAGTCTTGGAAACCTACAGAAACAGTTCTACCTTGTCCTATAGAGTTGCTATGAGCCAAAATCAGCTTGACAGCAGAGTTTGGGGGACTGTAGATTGAGTTCTGCTGCTGCGGTTGCCCGCCATTTCGAAATAAATGAATGCAGCCTAAGGACCACTGGACAGGAAGAAATGGAGATTCAAGACACCCTTGTTGCAGCATGACAGCATGAAAACCTTTCCCTTTTTGTGAAAGGGCATTTGTATTTTATATTGAAAAGATAATTTTATATGGGTGCAGTGTACAGTCCATCTAAATGCCACATATATGTTAAGCAACTGTTTATATGACTGTATTGGTAAGGCTTCTGGTCAACAATCAGTTATTTGTTCAATTTGGTGGGGGCATGGGTCATACACAAACTTTCGACTATGTGGAGAGTCAGCGCCCCCAAATTGTTCAAAGGTCAATTGTATGGAGGAGGTGCCAGAGCACCTCTGGTGGTGCAGTGGTTAAAGCACTTGGCTGCTAACCAGACCAGCCATTCCACTGGAGAAAGATGTGGCTGTTTTCTTTTTTTTTAGGGCCCATACAACTCTTATCACAATCCATACATACATCAATTGTGTAAAGCACATTTGTACATTCATTGCCCTCATCATTCTCAAAACATTTCCT